TTTCTTGTTGAATCAGTAATCTCCAAATATGTGGTTTAAATATTTGAGAGGCACTTCCTCTCCCACACAATTTCAACAGCATACTCTAAAAAACTCATTTTTTCATAAATTTCCCGTAATTTTATACATACGAATGACCAAAAAAATAATTTTTTAAAAAAAATTCTGCATACCGAGATATAAATAATAATACTTATAATGTGTTAATTCCGTTTATGGTTACTAAATTTTTAAATAAATATAACGTCAATGATCAATAATTTTTTTCCTTATGGATATTCGTTACTCAATTTTCTAATTGTGACACTATATAACGTGTCATTAAATAGCATTATTTATTACGTCAATTCAATAAAATAGAGTTCGAAATTGATTATTAAACACATTCAATTATAAAATCTGAAGTGGCCTTAATTTGGATTAGATCTTTGGATTTACATTGTACAATAAAATCACACTCTTTTAGCAACTATTTTTGCTGAGTTCGCATAATAAATAACATCTATATATAGAAAGTACAGGTTGACGGGAGTTAAGAATAACCCTGCCCATCTTATGAAAGAAGTAGTTATATAGACAGTACAGGTTCGACAGTAATCAACATCACGTCTCATGGTAGTTGTGGACAAGCGAACGAGTCACTACGATGTCCAAGCCAAAGCATACATAAGGCATTAGAATGTAGTTTTCTGACAAAGCACACATAAGGCATTAGAATCTAGTTTTCTGAAAAAATGAGCTTAAGTGCAATCAGAATTTACACAACATAGAAAGCTACAAAACTAAAATTCAAGCAGAGAGAGCTTTAATGGAGGCCCATTTAGATTTCAAATCATCCAACTTCTTGTTTGAAAGATCGACCTCTGGCTCTTTGCCTTCAATTTTGCTAGACTACTCTTGTGCAAGAGCATATACTCGCTTGTCTGCTTCGATATTTCTATCTTTCCTCCTTCAGTTGTCGACTTTTGCTTTTAAGTCCTTCCAGCTGCATCTCCAGTTCATTTTCTTTGTTATTCAACTCCTCGAGTTCAGTCTCTATTCCCTCTTCAGTTTTGACTAAATCTTCCGGCATATTGTTGGTCTTCTCAAAAGTAGACCAGATATGCTCGCCACTGACCTTAACTTGAACCGAGTCTCTCCAATCCTGTATAGTAGAGGGAAAATTAGCTTTCAAACTCATAATTTCTTTGGCCTGTTCGTTTGAAAACAAAGAAAGGTTGTCTCTAAGTATAGACAAGGACTCTATCATTGCAGTTTCATGCTTGGGATCGACCAAATTATCTAAAGGAAATGAAATCAGTTTGTTAAAGCATCCTTTTGCAAAAATTGCACGGTCTTTGAACAAAGGCACTTCACATGTAGCATCAGATACTGAGTTGAATGATTTTCTAATTCTTGGGTATGGATTTGAGAAAGGATTCAGCCTTGATG